AGTGATTGTGCCACTCAACTCCAGCCAGGATGACAGAAGGCAACCCTGTCTCTAAAAACAAGACAAAACAATAAAAGGTCTCATTAAAGAACTCCTAAAAACCCAAAGGAAGTGGCAATCCCTTCGGGTGCTCTCCCACTATGGGAGCTTTTCTGTCCTCTCAGTAAATCCTGCTTTAAAAAACAAACAAACAAACAAACAAAAAACCCAAGGGAAAAAAGACAACCCAACAGAAAAACACAAAGGACAAAAAGACATTTCTAAGAAGGGAAAACATAAATGGCCAATAGACATATGAAAAAGTGTTCTTCCTAATGAATGATCAGGAAAATGAAAATTAAGCTTATTGGTCAGTCATTACCAAGTGTTGGCAATTATGTAGAGCAACAGTAATTCACATCCACAGCTGATGTCTGTGAAACTGGTACAGCCACTTTGGAAAACAGTTGATATATAGGCCCACCCCTTTAGTCCACCAACAGCCATGCAGAAACTTGAACACATGTGTACCAGGACACAAGTATAAAAATATTCATTAGCAACACTGTTTCATTATGGCCACAAAAAAAGGGATGGGTAAGGGGGTGAGTCCTATTGTCTATCATCAATAGAATGGATAATTAAATTGTGATACAGCCAAACAAGAGAATGACTCTACAAAGAAAATAACCTCCTGCTACTACAACATAATGGATGAATCTTTAAAAAAGAATGTTGAGTGAAGAAGACAGAAGAACATATATTATTACATCTATACATTTACATAGTATTCAAAAACATACAAGACTAAGCAACATATAAAAGTGTGAAACTGAAGAAAAACAAGGTGAAGGTAATACAAAATGTAGGTAGGGTAGTTGTTACCTAGAGCAGTGAGGTGTTGTGGAAGGAAGCGACCACCAAGAGCTAATACACAGAGGCTTTCTACTATGCTGGTAATATTTTGTTTCTAAGGGTGGGTAAGTAGTATATCAATATTCACCTTAATACCATTCCCTAAACTAAGCATATACATTTTATACATTTTTCTGTATGTATAACATATTACATATTTAAATTTCTTTTGAATCCTCAAGTTAATTAAGATTTATTTTCCTGTAGTGATTTGCTACATTTTATAGTATTATGCATTTTTATAATATAAAAAGATTAACTACTGAGGCAAAAAAAGTTTCCTGATATGGGAATAACATATTCAATATTATGTGATCTACAAATGGACAGAACTCATCCAATTTTGGGAGACACAGGTATCCTGTATGTACACTATATGACAGTTACTGCTATTTTCATAGTGGCATACAAACAGGAATTGTGAAGAACTCCATTTGGAACATACTTCATTCAGAATTCAGAAAAATCCTGTAATTCATTAAAGCATTACTTTTTAACATAGCATTTTATGTCATCCTCATTTTTTAATCATATCTTAATATCAGTAATTTTTAATTTTATTTTTCAGTTATTTGTGAAAAAAAATTCTTTAGCATTCTACTTAATTTAAAACCTAGGAGCACAGGTTTTGAGAAAAGGGAATACAGAGCACTTTTCCTCCCTTTTCCCCTTCCCAGATGAATGACCATTTTGGTGCCTAAAATCCCTGGTCTTTATCCTTCAAAAGCATACCCTGAAATGTTTACACAGTTGCTTTTAGACTTTGTCAGAAGTACTATTTCTGATATCTGAGTACCACAATGACTTCAGGTTTGAATGTGTAATGATTAGAGTTCTCTGTTCTAAGACCAGTTTACATAGCCACCATCTTGACTGGTCTGAGGTGAATAACAAACAAAGATTTCTTAGACAATGAGGAGTAATATGCTGGTATCCCAAATATTATTGTATTATTAGTTGTGCGATTGTGAGGAAAAGGAAATGCAGCTTGATAAATCATAACCTCAACCCTCTGAGGCCTTTCCTAAAGCCAGAGCCCCTCGCTCCTCATGCCTTCCAGTTCTAGCTAGTCCAGAGAAAACAGAGCCTAAGAGTTAACAAAGAAACTCTTACTGACAATAGTCATCCAGACAACCAATCTTTCAGTTAGGCTAGAAATGGATGCAGAATGCCTAAAATGAAACCTATATGAGAATAAAATACAAATTTATTAAATAGAACAGTAAAACATAATACCTTTTAATTTTTAATATAAAATCACAATCTGAATAGAAGTCACCTATTTTCCTCTTGCTCTGTTTGTGACTTCTGGAGGGCTAAAAGGAAACAAAATGAAACTTTATTTCGATAGGCTTCCTGGTAAAGAAAGCATACAACACATAGAAGACATTTGGAAATAAGAATTAATTAACAAGTAACTCCTAAAAAGCAATAAAACTAATGGCAGGCTGGAAGGCACAGTTGTCCTTCAGTATACATGGGGGATTGGTTCCAGGACTTCCCTCATATTTCCAACCAAATCCAAGCATGCTCAAATCCCACATTTGGCCCTGTGGAACCTGCCAGGCAGTTTCACATCCTGAGACTAATGTATTTTCAATATGCATTTGTGGTTGGAAAAAATTCACATAAAGTGACCTATGCAATTCAAAATGTCAATTGTATAATTTCCTTGAAGCTAAAATAGTCCTTTTTAGGCACACTGAAAATATAAGATTTGTTAGATTTTAAGTAATCCTGGTATCTGAGCGTCAGTTGTGAACTGTAGACTAGAACAGTACTAGAGACAAGACATGCCCTCTAAAGGAAATTTTTTTTAAATTTTAAGTTTTTTATTTCAATTATGGTTTTGACATTTGTAAAAATTTATTTTGAAAGGCCTAATGTTATACCATCTTACCTATAGTTATGCTGGATAAATATTGCGAAGCTTCATCAGAAACAAAGCTCTCGTCACCAAGTATGTAGAGTGCAATACTCTGCAAAAGAAGAAAATTAACATGCTATTTTTTAACACTACTTAAGTATAGGTAGAAAATAACAATATAGAAAGATTTATCCATTTTAGGTGTACAGCTCTATAAGTTTTGGCAAATGTTACACAATCATGTTAACTCCTACCACAGTCACAATATAGAATACTTTCACCACACCCAAAAGTTCCCTGTGCCCTTTGTGGTCAATTCCTTCCTCCTTCAACCAGCACTGGAAACAACTCATCTGTTTTCTTGTCCTACAGTTTTGTCTGTCCTACCATGTTATGTAAGTGGAATCATACAATACGCAGTCTTTTTTGTTCTACTTCATCATATCATAATGCCTTTAAGATTCGCCCATGTTGCTGTATCAGTAATTTGTTCCTTTTCACTAGTAAGTAGTATTCCATTATATAGGTGTACCACAATTTGTTTATCTACTCAAAAACTAATGGACTTATACAAATCTTTGTGTAGGCATATGTTTTCATTTCCTTTAAGCAAATGCCAAGAAGTTAGTTAGGATTGCTTTGTCTTATGGTAAGTATACAAGGGAAGACCCCTCCCCAAGGGAATTACTTTTTGAAGGATGAACCCCTTGTAGTACAGGCTTCCCCCACCCCGATAAGTATTCTAGGAACCCATCAGCATCAGTGTACCAGATAGCATTGTCATGAGGGGCTGTGTTTGTCTTCAGTAAACTTTTTTTGGAGATCTTTTCAACACATTTGCCCATTTTGTGATGAGTAATTTATGAGCACACCTGCCCATACTACACTGAATGTTCAGCAGTTTTTGACCAAAAAGAGCATGACCCACATGCCCCATCCTCCCTATTAACCTGATATTATTTGGAACTTTTTGTGCCTTCCTGGATTTAAAAAATCCTCAAAGGGAAACATTTTGCCAACATGGAAGAGGTAAAACAAAAAATGGCAGAAGCACTAAAAAGCATCAAAACTGATGAGTTCAGAACTGCTTTGAGCAGTGAAAAAAGCATCTTGATAGGTGTTATTGCATCATATCAAGAGTACTTTGAAGGTGAATAAAGTGTAAACATGTAAGAATAAACAATTATTCATAAATAAATGACAGGAGTTTTTGGGGGGGTTCCCCAAATGTTTAACTTCACAAGAAACTGCCAGTTTCCCAAAGTGCTGTGTCATGTTTGTAGTCCCACAAGTAATATATGAGAGTTTCAGCTGCTCCATATCCTCACCAAAATTTGATTTTAGTCGCTCTAACAGATATCTAATAATATTCTAGTACTACCTTGCAAGCATCTACTGGTAATATCTATAATGGTATTTGCTTTGAGGAAAATAAATCATAAGACAAAGGAAAAAACTCTATAAGAAGAGTTAAAATATTTTGCTTATAACACAAACTTGTACAGAAGTATATCATGTCTCCTAAATGAGAAAATACACATCATTTTCTTGAAGATAACAGGGCCCAATAAGTATTAGTTCACTTCTTTACCCTCTCCTCCCTCATTTTAGCAAATGGTAAACAGACAATACCATCTCTACATATACAAGGGACTCAGCAGGAAGCTACCATAAGCTAGAAGGATCTGGTACAGGTTGCTGCAAATGTCTCACTAGCTAAACATCACATCCAAAAGATTTAAATCCAATATACCTCATAATTATAAAACTGAAAACCTATCAACAAGGGTTTCTGTTGGTATATTTTAAAGTACTTGTATGTCTGTGAGCTTGGAAGTCGGAAAGGAATACTGAGAGGATAAAAGATAAAACTAAGTGAAAAAAACTCAGAGGGAAAAACTGAGCTGAAGCCAGTTTCACCAGGAACATATCTGCAAAAAGATAACCCCACAGAATGGGAAAAAATATCGGCAAATCATATATCTGATAGTTTAATATTAGGAGTATACAAATTCCTAAAATCAACAATTTAAAATAATTTTTTAAATAAGCAAAGAACTTGAATAGACATTTCTTCAAAGCACATACATAAATTGCCAATAAGCATATGTAAATATGCTCAGCATCACTAATCATTAAGGAAATACAAAACAAAACCACAATGAGAGACCACTTTATACCTACTAGGATGGCTATACATTTTTTAAAAATAGAAAATAATAAGTATTGACAAGGATGTAGAGAAACTGGAACTCTCACTCCTGCATAGCTAGTAAGAACATAAAAGGCTGCAGCCACTATGAATGAGTTAAGCATTTCTCAAAAAGTTAAACATCAAACTACCTACCATATAACCCAGCAATTCCACCACCAGGTATGTGTCTAAAAGAACTGAGAGAGCAGAGACTCGAACAGTTATTCATATACTCACAGTTCACAGCAGCATAATTCACAACAGTCAAAAAGGTGGGAACAACTCAAGTGTCCATCAAAAGATTTTTCGCGACCCGCCTGGGCAGGTGAGACCTCATCTCTACAATAAATCAAAAAAATCAGCTAGGCGTGGTAGCATGTGCCTGTAATTCCAGCTACTCGGAAGGCTGAGGTGGAAGGATCGCCGGAGCCCAGCAGGTCGAGGCTGTGGTGGCCGGAAGTGGCCACTGTATTCCAGTCTGGGCGACAGAGTGAGACTTCAACTGAGAAAAAAAAAAAGATTTAATGATAAACTGTGGTATATCTATGATGCTCCTTTCTATTCAACACTGTTCTATATCTATACAACAGTGCCTAAAAAAGAATGTCATTTTGATAGATGCTACAATATGGAGGAAATATGAAAACACTATGCTAAGTGAAAGAAGCCAGACACAGAAGGACAAATATGGTATATGAGGTACCTCCAATAAACAAATTCATAGAAACAGAATAGAGTTATCAGGGACTGGGGGAAAGGAGAATGGGAAGTTACTGTTTAATAGGTACAGAATTTATGTTGGGGATGATGAGAAAGTCTTGGGTATAGATAGTAATAATGTGAATATATCTAATGCCACTGAATAGTACACTAAAAAATGATTAAAATAATAAATATGTTATGCATATTTAGACATCATTTTAAAAAAGCAATTCTATATGTCTGCTTCGGAGTCATGGGCCACTCGTAAGCCTTCTCAGCATGAAACAGAGCCAAATGTAGAATTAAGGAAAAGAAGCGCAGGGTGCAAGAATATTTACAGTCTGACATTTGAGAGACGACAAAAGCACATGTTTCTCCTGCAAGTCTAGAAAGATCCCATCTAGAAAGGTTCACAAGGGACCTATGGGCAGGCTGTTATAGGGCGGGGAGACTGAGGAACACATGCACCAAGGAAGTCACCTTTACTGATGCCCTTTAGTTCTAAACAAACTAATTTCTAAAACAAGTAAAAATATGTTTCTTTGAACAAAAATTTCAGGAGGACTTCTTGATAGCTGTAGACAAGCTGATAATAAAATTAATATGAAAAGGCAAGAAGGGTAATGAAGGGAGAAATTACACTAATCAATTTTAAGACTATGGCAACCCCTTCAGATCCCTTCCCACTGTGGGAGTTTTTCTGTCCTCTCAATAAATCCTACTTAAAAAAAATTTTTTTTAAAGACTACAGAGCTATAGCAATCAAGACAGAATGGACAACCACATAGACTAATGTACTAGGATAGGAAGTACAAAAATAGACCCACAAGAACGTGACCAACTGACATTTGACCAAAGTGCAAATGCAATAAGACAAGAATAGTCTTCAACAAATGTTATAGAAAGAATCGAGTCTCCAAATAGATTAATAAAAACCTCAACTTAAGATGTCACATACTAAAGTAAATCAATAAAATGGAGGTCTAAAATGTAAAACATGAAACTGCTAAATATACCTATTTGGAAACCTAGAAGAACATCTTCACAATCTTAAGCTAAACAAAGAATTATTAGACATAACACTAAATGCTATATCCATTTTTTAAAAATGACAAACAGGCTTCATCAAAATTAAACACTTTTACTCTATGAAATATTAAAAGAATAATACAAGACAAGCTACAAACAAGAAAATATGCACAAACCATGTATCAGACATAACCTCATACCTAGAATTCTCACATCATTAGCCATTACAGAAATGCAAGTTAAAACCATGATGAAATATCACTACACATCTATCAGAGAAACATAAATAAAAAAGAATGAAAATCTCTTAAATATTGTTGGTAGAAATATTTTAATGGGGCCAAAGTGGTTCATGCCTGTAAACCTAACTTTTTGGGAGGCCAAGGTGGGAGGACTGCTTGAGGCCAGGAGTTCAAACCCACCCTGGGGAACATAGCAAGACATTGTCTTTATTAAAAAAAAAAATAGAAAAAAGAAAAATATATTAAAAAAAAAAAAAGACATGCAAAATGGAACGGCTACTCTGGAAAATAGCCGACAATTTCTTTAAGAACTAACCATATGTTTACTATATAACCCATCAATCACCCTTCTAGGTACCTATATTACACATTAAAAAGTTATGTTCACACAAAAACCTGAATATGAATGCTTACAGCATTTATATTTAAAATTGCTAAAAATTGAAACCAACCCAACTATCTTGTAGTATATCCATACAATAAACTACTAATCAGCAATAGAACACAATGAACTGGTTGATATAGGCAGTAAATTGGAAGAATCTCAAAATTGCTAGGGAGTTTTGGGGGGTGATGTAAATGTTCTATATCCTACATAAACTTTACACAGAAAGGAAAATTTAAACAAGACAGGGATAACTCCAAACACATACCAAGGCTACCAATCTGCTTCTTTCACAGATTCCAGGGAGGTAAGGATAGGGTGGCATTCCTTCACCCTTCAGACGAAAGCTCACCCACTGATAAATACTTGGTGGCTCAGAAGTAAAAAATGATGGGTGATGCATAAATCCTGTTTGACCTTTAAAATTAGGTAACTACACAAAAAGATACAAGAATACATTAAGACAACACTATTTTTTTATTCTAAAAGGCAGTTTCAACAGTATCTGTCATTTTCAAACAACCAGAATAACAAAATGCTTCATGTTTTCTGCCACAGTGAATAATGAAATATATTATTATATGTAGAACTTAAATGACTTCAGTTTTATCCCAACCTGATGGAAATTCAGCAAATTCTTATATCCAAGGCATATGAAGAATCTAATGAAAAGTTTTGGCCTAATCCTAAAGGTGAGAAAACAGAAGAGACATCCAGGATTCAGCTCTTTTCTAACAACCTGGCCCCACATTTGAGTCCCTCTTGCTTAGGGTCTAAGACAGTACATTGGCAAAGAAAACACTCTGTATCTAAGTGACAAGTATGGTAACCACTTAGCCCCATATTGGACACTTGAAGTGTGGTTACTGCACTGACAAAATGAATGTTTTATTTTAATTGAATTAAGATAACATATGGCTAATGGCTACTAACTGGACATTCTAGGTTAAGCATCCTTGGCACTGGAAGCTCTTTCTAAACTTTGCAAGTCAGAACCTTAGGGATGGGCAAAATTTTGCCTTTACACTGAAGAAGTTATGGCTTACTACAAGTCAGAAAATAAGTACTACAACCAAAATCTGCCTGGTGGCAAGACACTGCCCTTCACTTAAAGCCTAATGGTAAGAAATATATCCTCTGCTATTCACTGAAAAAGATGTAACAAATGTCACTACATTGTTCAGGCAATCTTTAGCAGCATGAACACTGACCTTGATCAATCGTGCGCACTTTTCCAGTAGTTCTAACAAGCATTGGGTAGTCTCTATAGTAATGATCCACATAAGGCCCCAATTTTAAATCCCTAAAACAAGATGAGCATACAAAAATAATGTATTACTGCATCCTCTTTCCCCCCATCCCTGCCCAGAGTTGAAAAGATTCATCAGTTGAATTTTTCAATTAAAAAATTTACTTAGGCCAGGCTCAGTGGCTCAGCCTGGAATCCCAGCACTTTGAGAGGCAGATCGAGTGGATTGCCTGAGTTCGTAGATTTGAAACCAGCCCGGGCAACTTGGCAAGACCTCTTCCCTACAATAAATCAAAAATTAGCCAAGCGTGGTAGCGTGCACCTGTAGTTCTGGCTACTTAGAAGGCTGGGGCAGAAGGATCACCTGAGCCCAGCGGGTCGACGCTGGGCTGGCCTTGAGCATGCCACTGCACTCCAGCCAGGGTGATGGAGTGAGACTCCGACTCAAAAAAAAAAATTTCTTAGAAGATAATTAAATCTAGAGTCTCTTCATTGTATTTCTGGACCTTAAAGTGCCCAGTTTGACCAATGTAACCCAATCTCCATTTGCAAGTTAAATTCCATGGAGATAAAACTAGAGTAAAAGCACTGTGGCCTAGATCCCTCTGTTAGTTATTAGCTGTGTGATCTTCAACAAGTCATCTCCATGAACGTCAGTATTTTCTTCTAGAAAATGAGGCAACATCAGTTAACCTACTCTGAAGTTTTGAAGATTAAACATGTGAAAAATACCTTATATAAAATGTAAAGCATTATTCAAATGTTATTTCTGAGAGCCATGATTAAGGTTTAAAAATTACTTAACTACAAAATTTTCATGATAGTAATGGTATCATAAGTGAAATTTCCCATCAGTTAAAACTGCCATGTTTCAGAAAAATATTTCAGGATCTCAAGGAAGATCACAGAAATTAGAAAATATACTATAATCTTAATTCAGAGGTGGATATTTCAATTCAAATGCAACTTATTTATCACCAAAGGTCACAAAGGCTCAAAAAAATCTAAAATGCTGGTGTGGTGTCTCACACCTATAATCCCAGCACTTTGGGAGGCCCAGACAAGAGAACAGCTTGAGACCAGGAGTTCAAACCCAGCCTGGGCAACACAGTAAGATCTCATCTCTACAAAAAATCAAAATATAAGCTAGGCTGGTGATGCTTGCCTATAGTCCAAATTACTCAGGAGACTGAAGCAGGAGGATCACCTGCGGCCAGGAG